GTCGTTGAAGATCAAAGTTGTTCTTCTCTCCCTGGTACAAAGGCGGGGCCAGAGGGTGGGCACCTCTTCAAAGGGAAACTTAGGCCCTGCTTTTAGGCAGGTAAGGGGAACAAAAAGAACTCTTCTCAGGTGCCTTCAGGTCAACATAATTGTAATGCCAATGTGATACATTTTGGGGTGGCATGTCCCGATCCCTTTTGAGGCCATGGAGCAAAAGAATGACCAGCAGGGCTAGTGTGAGGTCTCCTGGCTCCCAGCCCACAGCTCCTTGACTGCCACGCTCGCTCACCTTGCCGTCTTTGATGCCTTTATTCTTATGGCCATCTTCTATTTATGGCAAGTGATCTTGGTTTTCCCTATACCAGAGTGATATGATATGTTTCCTTCTTGTTATTTTCCCCCTGCCTGAGGATATGTTTATTGATTTTTTAAAGAAAGAGAGACAGAGAGAGAGAGAAACGTCAATGCGAGAGAGAAACATCGATCACCTGCCCCTTGCGCCCGCACCCGGCACACGCCCCAACCTGGGATTGAACCTGAAACCTCGGTACACGCCCTGACTGCGGATCAAACCTGTAACATCTTCGGTGCACAGAACGATGCTCCGACCAACTGAGCCACCTGGCCAGGGCTATATGTTTCTTTCTTATATAAATTTATTTAGAGTAAGAAAAGCTTTGCAAAAGTGACACATTAAAGCAGACATCAGGAAGTTAACATGTGAAAGACTGAGGTTGGGAGAGCACCACCCTCGCCCCCTCCTTTCTGGCAGGTGAAGCGAAGGAGGCCGAGAGAACTGGGCTTGCGTGGAGTCTGATTTAGAATGAGGGTTCCCCGTCTTCCCACCCAGGGGCTGTGCTAGCGCGGAGGGAGCGCCCCTCGGCACTAATGAGCTGTCCAGCCCTGGGGTTGGCCAAGGGGACGAGTCCTCTTGCTCTAGATGCCAGGCATAGGGGAGCTGGGGCACCAGGGGCCCAGGGATAGATGGGGGGGTCCTGCACCCTTTGTGGAACGTGATCCTCAGCCAGCAGCACCTGTTAAAAAAGCAGGTTCCTGGGCCCCACCCAGACCCAGAATCAGACCCTCTAGGTAAGGGGTCCTAGAACCTGCATTTTAGACAGGCTCCCCTGAGGGATTCTTGTGAAGTCTCAGAACCGGGCCTTAGGGAGGGCCCTGCCTGGGCTGGGGTGCGGCGCCAGGAGGCAGGCTTACTTAGGTCTCTGCCACTTCTCGCTGAGGGAGCGACCTCCAGCGAGACAGTTCTTGTGGGAGCCCGATTCCTCATCTGTGAAATGGTGAATAAGAAAAAAGTATGTAAGGTTCTCTGCATGGAGAACCCAGAAAATGGCATCTTTCCCTCTCCCTCTTAGGGAACCAGGTCCAGGGGTTCCTTGACCTGGGGTGTTTGGGGTCAGGGAGGGGCGTTCACCGCTGGCTGTGGGCAGAGCCAAGACCAGCGCAGACTCATCTCCGGGTGGGTACTGGAGGGGAGGGGCAGCTTGGCTTTGGCCCACCCGGCTCAACCTGGCTCCGGAAAGGGACTCCAGAGGAAGCAGCCACCTGGAGAATGACCTTCGACCTCACTTCCAAGCCCTCCTGGGAGTAGTGAAGTGTTCTTGATTTGTGATCATTGTGATGAAAGGGGCTGGGAGGTGATAAAATGTGTCCCCATTCCATTCTGTACACCCACCCCTCCCACTGTTCCCCACACTTCTAACCAACCGGAAGCACTCATCAAGAAAGAGGTGAGGGTTTGGCAAAAATTCCCATTCATGAGACTCACACACAACCCCAAGAGGTAGGTGTGATCACCCCCACTTACTGATCACAAATCTAGAATCCGAGAAGTAAAAGCACGCGCCCAAGTTCAGACAGCTGGGAAGGAGCCCAGCTGAAAGAAACAGGATGAGCTTTCCTATCAATTTTCTTTAATTTGTTCTTCTTTTTTTCTTTCATTCTTTCATTTATTCAACAGACATTTTATATGCCTCCCACTTTGTTCCAGATACTGGGGGCGCGGTGGTCCCTGCATTCAGAGGGTTTACATTCCAGCTGAGGGCTGGAGTGTGCCGCACAGATGGCTGAAGCGGTAAGTGAGGAAGCCATCGGAAAGTAGACAGCAGGGAATTAGAATAAGGCTGAGAGACTGGCTGTAAGTAAGTGGCGGGTGGGGGGGGATCGGTTTGGGTTGGGAGCACAGGGACGTTTTCCTGAGGGAGTGACTGTCAGCTGAGCTCTGGATGACAGAGGCCAGCCCTGCAGAGAGCCCTGAGAGAGCCTCCTGGAGGGACCCCAGGAGGGCGAGGCTTGGGGGGGGGAACCGAAGGCAGAGAGGGAACAGGGCGGAAGCCCTCAGCCGGCCTTCTCAGCTTCGAGTTTGTGCAAACTCTTTTAAAATCCCTTCTTTATTTTAAGTGAAAAAACTACACCCCTCCCCGCAGGACCCCGAGCTAGAGAGACAGGCCCTCCTGACTCTGGGTTGTCCAGGCTGCCCTGGGGTCAAAGGCTGGCACTCACCTGGCCTGAGCAAGGATACGGGGACCCCAAGTGTAAATGCCTGCATTCCCCCTCCAGGGGCACTGAGATGTGGTGGAAGGGACAGGGGCTCCAGCCCCACCCGCACAGGCCGAGGGGAGAGGGTGTGTGACGGAGGCCTGAGTATCTGGAAGCAAAATCCAGCTGGAAAAACAGGCAGGCACGTGGAGGGGTCATCAGTCCGTGAGGCCCTTGGGTGGGGCCCCCATGCTCCAGAGGTGGAACTCTGGATCCAAGTGACCTGAGGACTGGGTCAGCCAATGGTGGGAAGGGGCTCTGAGCGGGAGAAAGCTCTCCAATTGTGAGTGCTATTATCATTGTCGGTAACTCACTCCCTGGCCCTCTTACCCAGGCCTCCCGCCTCGCCACACCCGACCTCACCTCCTCATCCCAGGGCGTGGCTTTCCTCCTCCTAAGGGGCTCCCAGCGCTGAGTCACCCACTGTCCCGGGAAAGTGTGTGGGAGGTAGGGTGAGACAGGGCCCTGGAGCCAGAGAGACTTGGGTTCAAATCCCAGCCCTGCCACTTATCAACAAGTGACTCATCCTGAAGTTTCAGTTTCTGCAGCTGGAAAATGCAGATGAAAATGCCCGAGGGCAAGTGGGCACCACAGGTATTCAAATCAGGTGTTCAGTGTCCCTTCTGCCCCTCTCCCACTGGCGTCTCTTTGCAGAACCTGACCTCAAGGGAACAGGAAGCTCAGAGACTGCATCCTTCTGTCTGTCTCCTACATCCAAGGGTACGTGAGAGATGAGGGCACAGGACAGAAGGAGCCTGTGAGTCTCCTTCCTTTGTGCCTCCTGTCGGATTCCAGTGATTGGAAGTTGGCCCAGAAAGAACTCACAGGGTAGGAGGCCTTGCCTTACTTCAGGGACTCAGTTCTGGCTGCCCCAAGACCTCATCTGCCATGTCTTTTTCAACCTGGGATTCATTCATTCATCCCTTCATTCAACAAATACCTATTGACACCTGCTCTGTGATCACCAGGCCCTGCACTGGGTGCTTAGCTCATGGAGGGGAGCACTACAGACCCAGCCCCAGGCTCCTGCCCCAGCCCCAGGTTTGCCCACCCAACGCCAACCCCATCAACAACCCTGACGGCCCATTTCAGCAGCTACACACCCCTCAGGACATTGACCCTGTTCTGCCTTAGAGATAAATAAATCCTGAGCCATCAAAACTGACCAGGGTACTTACTGGGGCCACCATGGTTTCGGGTGGCCAGTCCTGGGTGGGGAGATCTATTGCATTGCGGTGGTAGGGCTTATTAAAAAGAGACACAAAAGTGGAAGCATTTTCTCTGCTTGACGTTATCATGTCCTGGCTTGAGGTCTGGGTCACGGCTGCCATCCTGGAGCCAGGTGCAGCCATCCGGAAGGCAAAGCCAACACTTGAGGGTGGTCAGCCAGGGGCAGGCGAGAAACTAGGGGCTGATAGCATCCTCAAGCCACAGAAGAGCCACCTTCCCCTGGACTTACTGTCATGCAAGGTCATAAATACCCTCATCGTTGAAGCCCATTGAGTCACAGTTTTCAGCAGGAAGCTTCCTGATTGGTACAAATGGCGTGGAGTGCAAGGGAACAGAGTGGGAAGGGTCAGAGGTGGGATCTTGGATCTTTCTTTTGCTGGTCTGGTTGTGGACCCTCAGGAGGTTCCTGATCCCATTCTGAGCATCAGTTTGTTCAATTTTAAAATGGGAATAAATGTTCATACCTGCCAACATTGTTATTGTGAAAGTCACAGAGCCTGGAGCATGGGAGTTCTGATGGCTAAGAAGAGTTGCCAGCTCTTGACCTTGAATAAATTGGACATCGTGCTTCAGAATCTAATTGACACAGCTTGCACGGTCATGTAGAAGGGAGAGAGAGGAATTGGGTGCAAAGAGGGAAACATTAATGAACTATTTTCTTTTCATTTATCTTGGGGGTGACTTCAGATTTGGTTACTACATAACAATGACAACAATCACAATAATAATACAGTTAACATTTAAAGAGGGATTGATATGTGCCAGGCACTGTGCTAAGAGCTTAGGCGTTAATCTTGTTTAATCCACTAACCTCATTTTATTTTCTTCTTAATTTCATTTATACTTCACACACAAGGAAACTGAGATCCCTGCTGGAAGGTAACATGCCTAGTCGGTAGTATAACTAGAATTTGAACTCAGCATCCATAATTTTTCATTCCTATTATGCTACTTCGCACAAGGCACTGAACTTCACAAGAAGGAAAATTGCTGGGTCAGCTGCTTCACATATGTGTGTTACAGGCTGGAGGTCACGGGTGGCTTCAGACACCCCAGCCCTGTTGCTGGACATACAGCTAATTACATATGAATGACAGATTGTGCATCTTTATATGAAAAGGCAATCCATTCATCCATCATCTGTATATCCATCACCCATCCATCCATCCATCCAAAGTCAGTTTCTCTAGAAGCCAAGCCTGAGACAAGGATACGGTGCAAGTGAAGGATTTATTGAGGGAGTGCTCTCAGGAGAAACTTGTAAGAGAAGAGGAAGACAGGATAGGCCAGGGGACAAAGCAAGTAAAGAGGTGGTTCCAGATGTCTACCCTTAGCCTGACCCCAGGAAGAGCTCTTGGACATGCAAAGTACTACCTAGATGGCCCTGCACAGACAGGGGGTGGGCAGTTATATTCTCTGTGGTATTATTTTCCATGCTTATTGGTTTGAAGTGGCGGGCTGGGGGTGGGAGAATAGGCAAGGTAGCTCCCAACAGACAAGGCCGATCCTTAAGAAGGTGAGCAAATGCGAGCACTTCACAACCAACATCTGCCTTAGCTCAGGAACTGGGCCATGAGGAGATCTGAGTAGGACACCAACAACATCTGCCACAACCTCCACCTATCCATTATGGGCTCATTCAATCAACAAGCATTAATTGAGCACCTATTACGTGGAGGAGGAGAGGAAACAAAGGTGTGACAGATATGGCCTCCATCCTCTGGGAGCTCCAGTCTAGTTGGGAGAGATCAGAGATCTCTCCATATGTCCAGAGAAGTCCAGATGTTGATCTACCACTCAAGGTAAAATTTGGTAAATTGCAGACCCAGAAAGTGCTATGGAAGCTCAGAGGAGGCAGTGAGGCCTTGGAGCCAGGCAGGAGTCAGCTGGGGAGACTTCCTTGGAGCCTCCTAGGAGCCTGGGGAGGGCTTAGCTTCCTGAAGACGGCAAGGGGAACATTCCTGCAGGAAGCCCACCTGGGCGAAGGCCTGAGCGCAGGAAAGGAGAGAGCCTGGAGGACCTGTGGCATGTATTTGTGGGCCTGGAGTAAGAGGAGCAGGGGCTTCCTCCAGCCTTTCACTCCAGAGGCTTTTATGGAGCCCCTTCTTGACACTGCTTTGGGCACCAGGGACGCAGATGAGCCTGAGACAGGCATGGGCCCCACCAACCAGGACCTCCAAGCCTAGCAGGGAGAGGGATACAGCACCAGAGAGTGTGGGCCCCGAACTCCTGCCAGAGGCCTTATCCTGGGGTGAGGGAAGGCCTTAGGGTTTTAAGAAGTAGAGTCCTGGGGACGGGAAGATCAGGTTGTCCTTCAAAGCGGCCACTCTGGCTGCAGCTTGGACAGTGTATTGAAGGAGTGAGATGGAACTGGGAGGCCTGGTGAGGGAGTGGCATTGGCAGGGAGAACCTGCCACTCCTCAGCCCCCCCGGCCCCGCCCCCAACACCTGCTGCTTCTGCTCAAACACCATCCTCCAGGGCTCCCTGGCTTTGGCTTTTCCTAAGATCACAATCCACCCTTAAAGAGACAGCTGCTGCCCGGGTTGGGAAGATTTAGAAGGTCCAAGAGGCAAGGTGGGTGGTGGGAAAGAAGCTGAGGTCCTCCCTCTTCCGGGGAGTGTGTTAAAGGAGCCAGGCTGGTTCAGGGGGTTAGTGACCCCTGGGGCAGGGATGTCAACGGTCCTGTGCGACTTCCAAGGACCAGGGTAGGGGACGTGCTGGGCAGGCTTCTTCTAGCACATAAGTTTTCTGCCCCAGCAACGGGGCTTGAACCGGACGAAACGCTGGTCCTTGTTGTAGGTGTCCAAGTTGCGCTTCAGGCAGAAGACCAACTCCTTGTCGCAATCACATAGCTGCTGCTCACACCAGCTCCCTTTGTCAGCTGTGGGTTGGAGGAGGAGAGAGCTCAGGATCTTTCCCCACCTGAGACAGTCTGGGGGCCCTGCAGGGAACCTCTGAAGGCAGTGCCACCATCCTTGTTCAGTTTTGGGATGTCCTCCCCAGCTACTTTGACTCTAGCTGCGTGACCATGGGCGTGTACCGTGACCTCCCCTTGTGGCATTGTGCCTTTACTTATTTATTCATCCACTAAATAAACAATTGAGCACCTATCCAGTGGCAGGCCCTGAGGGGACAGGACTGAACGCAGCGGACCTGTGAGGCTCACACCCCCATGGGGGGGGGGGCGCAGACCTTTGAGAACCACAGAAATGAATGTCACAAACTGTGCTCCACAGGCGTGAGGAGCGGTGCCGGGGCTACGGGACAGTAAAACTGTGGGACAAGAGCCCTTTGACCTGAGCTTGGAAGGGTCTGCTCTCCCTACGGAAAGCCAGGGTAGAGGAAGAGGAGCGTTCCAGGCAGATGGAACAGCATGTGCAAAGACTCTGAGGCAGAATGAACCACTGTACTTCAGTTTCATTATCTGTAAGCCGAGGATGATGAGCAAGTGCTGACTCAGGGGGCCGCTGTGAGAATTAAAGTGAGGCGACAAAGCACTCAGGACACAGTAACTGCTTGAGCGTGGACTCCGGGGCCCGGGTAGCTGGGACCCAACCCAGCCTCTGTTTTTTGTAGCTGTGTGACCCCGGGCAAACACTTCTTCACTCTGTCTCCTTGTCTATGCCATGTCTATGCCATGGACCAGGGTGGGGCTGCCTCCTGGCGGGGCTGTTATGAGGAGCAATAATGATGAAAGTAGTGACAGCAATATCAACAGCCCGAGTCATCTCTCGAGCATGCGCTCTGCAGCAGGCCCCTGTGAAGCTCATTCTGTCTGCTCTCATTTGAGCTCTTGAGTTAACTATATGGGGTAGATTACTGTTATCACCCTCAGTTTACAGATGAGGATACTGAGGTTCAGAGAGGCTGAGCAATGTGTTTAAGGTTACACAGCTGGTCAGTGGTGGGTCTGGGATCTAAGCTGAGGTCGGCTAGCCTTCCAGATCCTAAAGGGGTCAAAGCCCCCATGGGACCTCTCCACATTCCCACCTCCACTGAACCCCTTTATACTCCCATATACTCCCTTCATGGCCTAGCTCTTGCCACTGGATATGTAAGAAACACAGAGAGGTTGAGTGACTTGTGCATCACTGCACAGCATATAAAGGCAGTGAGTGTCAAGACTCCTTCAGTCTCCAGCCCCGAGGCCCAGGCACTCACAGCAGTGGACGTCCCCCTGGCTAATGTTGTAGCTGTAATGGTCTATGTTGAAATGGCAATGGTGCAACTTCAGGTGAGCATAGCAGCAGTCATGGGTATGGCAGCACCTGGAGGGAGAGGACAGGAGGTGGGACGGGGGCACAGGCACACGGGTCCTTAGCCGACTCAGGTCTTCAGCGACCCCTGCCCCCGAGGAGAACCTGGGCTCCCTTGGAAGAGTCAGGGCCCCCAGGGTTCCGGCCTTCCTCATGGCCACACTAACTAACCTTCCCTGGGGGCTTTCTAGGTTCTAGGTCTTTTCTATGGACGCCCTCTTAATCTTCACCCCCACCCTACGACAGGGGCACTAGCGTTACCTCCATCTCACTGATGGAGATTCAAGGAGGTCAAGCCATTCGCCCAAGGGCACACGGCCTGTAGTGGTGGGTCAGGGAAGCGACCTGGGCCTGGCGCCGGCTCACATCTCTCCTTTGGTGGATTCCCAGGATGGTGGTAAAGACCAAAGGAGATCGTGGCAAAAAGAGGTGGGACTCTGTAAAAACACTGTGCGATGGCAGCGGGCCGTGTGTGAGGGTACCCTAAATAGATTAGGGGTTGGGAGCGCAAAGTGGGGGTCTTCAGAGACATTGGGGAACCCTTTTGAAGGCAAGCTCCTAGAGGGCAGGGACTGTATCAGGGCTCAGCAGAGTTCCCAGCACATAGTACAGAACGAATCCACAGAATGAATAAAGGGATGGAAGAAGGTAAAGGGGGGATAAACAGTGGTGGAGGGAGACGTGACATAGGCTGGTAAACACACTATACAATACACATGATGTGATGGTGTGTTGTAGAATTGTATACCTGGGACCTGCATGCTTTTATTAACCAATGTCACCCAATAAATTCCATAAAAAAATAAATGGATGGAGAGGAAAGGGGAGAGTCCTGGGGCGCAGGCAGGATAGGCTCGCCCCCGCGGGTTACCTATCCGTGGCATCGACGGGTGTGCCTCTGCCGCCAGTCCCACAGTAACAGCCGTAGGGCCAATAGGAGAGGATGGGTAGCTTCCCGGTCACTTGTTGGATCATCTTTCTCAGGTTCAGAATCCCGCCCTGGGCTGGAGTCACACCTGCCAAGGAGCCCACGAACAAGAGGAGGACATGAATCCCAGGGCAGGTCACTGGACCCCAGGCCTGGCGCCGTTGCTTTATCCGGACCAGACAAATAACCTTGGATAACAGAACGACAACAACCGCTACAGCTATTAAAAATGCAATGGCAGTGAGTGAATGCTTGCTTGGGGTCTTTTTATGTAGCAATTTATGCCTCCATCCACCCCATGAGATAGGGACTATTTTTTGCAAATAAACTTGTTCTTTTGGTGTATCCTAGAGGTAGAAAAAAGTTGCCGAGGTTGTACAGAAAGCTCTCCTAGACCCCTCTGCCCCTTTCCTCTGATGTTATTATCATCTTACATAATTGTGGTGTATTTATGAAAGCTAAGAAACCAACATTAGTATAATAATGTACTAATTTTAATTCCCGCTTTGGAGAGGGGGCAGACGCAGGCTCCGTCACACGCTCCGGGTCACAGTAGCTGGTGAGGGGAGGAGTCTGGAGGGAGACCCAAGGAGGATCGGTTTTATCCCCTGTCCTGGGCACTGAGGTCCCACTCAACAACAGGATACCTCACCCTGCTTCCCGAACTCCCCACCCCCACCTCCAACACCACATTTAGTAGGGAAATTCGCATAGTAAAAACATGTCTGTCTCTTCCGGGAGACAGCGTGATTTAGAAATCAATGATTTTCATGGATAGCTTTCATTTCAGTCATAATAGCCTCTGGATAGAATTGATCACAAGGGAAATTTATTTTATTGGGAGAGAGAAATGCGCTAGGATGAGTTAGGAGAAATGAAATATATGAAGTCAATGAATTTGAGGGAGGATTTGCGAGAAAGAGACAAAATAAGAAGGGGACTGAAATGTACATGTGCGCCACCTCGGCAGAGGATTCAAGGACACGGATGGAGCTGAGAATCTCAGGGAAACTTGGGGTGACCCTAGTTATAGAGCCCCTGACCCCCAGGTAGATGATGTTATAATGAAGGCTCCTCATGCAAACAAATTAAATAGCCTGTGAGCCCCGTACTGGGGGAGGTTGGGGCGCAAAGGGGAGGTTGGGGGGGACCCGTGCAATGGGCCAAGGGTGAGATCACAAGCAGGTGGCCTTGGGCTGCAGCTGAAAGTGACTGGCGGGGTCAGGTAGTTGCCGGCCTGTTGTGTCCCCAGTGTGTCCCCTCAATGTGGCTCCAGGTCTATGGATGTTAAAGAGAAACCTTGTGGGCTTTGACCATACTGATGAATGATCTCAGGCCATCTGGAACCCCAGATTCAGCGCTAAAGGAACCCAAAGACAGTGCGTAGCAAAGAGAGTGACCGTCCGTCCACCACGTGGGCCAACTAGGGACCTGAATTCAGAATCTTGCCTTTTTTGGGATGCCTCCATTCCTCCTTCTGCCCTACATCCAGCCTTTCCCCTTTCAGCTTAGAATAACACACACAAACCAACTCACACCCGAACCTTGCAGCCCTCCCTTGACAGGCAAGCCATAAGTTCAGCTTTGATTCAGGATGCCTTTGGGTGGTCTTATCCCTTCCAATTTTACAGGGAGGTGAAGTCAGCCCGGAGAAGCTGAGGAGTTCAGCCTGTGGTTATGCGGGCTTTGCTGAACCGGCTTAGCTTCTCAGCAAGTCCTGTCTTAATAGCTTTCTCCGTCCTTACCGGCCACCAAGGGAGATGAAGCCTCTTTGTCAAGAGTTCTCCATAGTGGTGGGAGGCAACGCTGCTACTGTTTCGTGCATGTGCTGTGTGTTGAGCTATTGCTTCCTTAATTGTACTGAAAATTTTATTATCTATTTTCTCATTAAAGTCCCTCTAACAACCCCATGAAAATGTGCTATCATATCCATTTTATGGATGAGGGTAGAGAGGCTTGGCCAAGGTCATCCTGCCCGGAGATGGAGAGGCCATCGTCTGAATCAGGTTTGTCTGTGTATTTTATCTCTATGCTGTGTTGCCTCTTTACATCTGAGAGATGAATTTCCATAGCTTGATTGCAATTTTCCTAATGGTTTTCACTGGAACCCTGGAGATGTGCTTCTCTGGAGAATTTGGGGGTCCTGAGATAACATACAATCACATGTAAAAATGCATCCTTTTGAAAATCACGTATTTTTAGATGGTCAGGAAAGGAAAATGCCAATTTGCTAGCACCCACATTTTACATTTGCTCTGCTAAAGATAGAATAGAAATTGCTGCATCACCCACGAACAGTCCGCAGAACCCTCTTGCCAGGTTCAAGGGAGACAATGAGCATGAATGGGTTCTCAAAATACACAGCTGCATCTATGGAAATCTAATAGAGGCATCTATTATTTGGCCAAAGAGACAGGTGGGAGATCCATTTCTATAATTTTTGTCCATAGGGTCAGCTCGGCAGGCCCCTGGATTCTGAACCTTTAGTTTCTGACCTTCCCAGCAGCCCAGAGGCTTGTCACCCAGCTTGGCCACCCAGACCTCTCTGGCCAAAGCCAATGTTCTGGTGGCTCTTTGCAAGGGGCAGAGAGTTGGGGATTGAGGGGCCAGGACAATGGGGATCACAGCCAGCCTGTGAAAAAGATACAATGCCTACCCTCCTCCCTCCTCCCCTTCCCAGCTGTGGTTCTCGTCCCCACTCACCAGTGAGCACCAGCAGCGCACACAGCAGGGGAAGTTCCATGTCCCGGCCCAGAGTGAGGGAGCAGCTGCTGGAGCCCCCTTCACGCAGGCAGCCCTTTATACAAGATGCGCCCTCCCCGCACTGGAGCCTGACCCTGCCTCTCCCAGCTTTAGCTCTTGAGGAAGCCACTTCTGTGCTCCTTTTTCTTCCTCTTTTCTGGCACTGGGGAATTTTGTTTTCTTTAAAACTTTTTGATTGCAAAAGAAACACATGTACAGTGTAGAAAATTTGGAAAACATAAACAATAAGGAGAAATTAAGCACACACCATTACCGGTTTGGTGTATCTCCTTCTGGTTCTATTATTCTCTGTATATCTCCACACTTTCCCCTGGCCAAATCAGGAAAATGTTATACCTGGTACGTTGTAGTACTTTGTAGCCTCTCTTTTCACTTAGCAATGTAACTTGAACATATTTCTTCATCGTCAAATATTCTTCTGCAGTAACATTTTGGAAGGTAGCCGTATTCCAGTATACGGCTATGCCACTCATTTAATGAACCCCCTATTGATGGACACATGGGTTAGTGATTGCTGCTCTAGACTGGACAGTGGTACAATGAAAGGGACCCTTGAGGCTAAATCTCAGCTCATGTCCAGAATTGTTGCTGTGGGAACAATTCCTAAAGTGGACTTGCTGAGGCAAAGCACTTGAAGGCAATTGATGTGCATTGACAACTTGCCCGAGTTCATGAATGAGAATGTTAATGAACACATGGTGTGGGTCCAGCCCAGCCAGGAGAAGGTGCTGATGGCAGGACACGCGAAGCATCACGAAGAGATGGTCTGCCAAGAAGGCTCCACTGATAACCTTTCAGGGTTTCACGGAGAGTCCACAGGTAGCAGAAGCTGGTTTTCTTCTGTGCCCCTTCGATGGCTGGTCAAGGACATAGTGCCCAGGCTGACCTTTTTGCTGCCAGCTAAGCAGTGCACCCAAGGAAGTGCCCCAGTGAGAGTCACTGCTGGGAGCTGTCTTCTCTCTCCACTCCCTTCCCTCTCTCCTCTAAATCTAATTTTCCCTTTGTTCCTGACCTTGTCACCAACTGATCACCTCACATGTGAGAAAACAACCTGCACACAAAATAAACAGCAGGCAAAGTAAGTGTATCTGGCATATTCTTTGGCATGCCTCTCCCAAGCATGCTCAATAGTCATTCCCTTACACTCTTACCAGTGTAGGACCTTACCCTGCAAACAGTCTTCTAGATCTGGGCACTTGATGGGGCAAGTGACTACTCCCCAGAGCTCCTGCTCCCCACAACCTGGTGTCACTGGGCAGGAGCAAAAGTAACCAGGACTGGAAGTCTTTGTCGATTCCAGAAAGCTTTCCCCAGTGGGAAAGAAGCCATGAGATTGATTCTGTAAAGGGACCTCAAAAAAAGTTGCCCTAGATGCCTCTGGAAGCCCCAACGCACACCTGCAAGGCCCAGTTGGGATCAGAAGGATGCATATCAAACCTTGGTTCCTTCTCTTACCACCTGTGGACCCGAGGCAAATCATTTCACCTCCATGAGCCTCTGTTTCCACATTTGCAGAGTGGGGACAACAGTCCCTCCTTCCTCTGTCACTGTGGGGTCTAGAGATCACATGCCTACAGCACACTGCACCAACCCTCACCCATGGAGAGAATGCCATTACGACGACCACAACATGGGTTACATAGTGTTATGTGGAGGTGGCGAGGATGGGAAGGTGGGAATTAAAACCAGACGGCCTGGATTCCAGCTGCTTCACCTGGAGCAAGGTGCTCAGCAACGTGTCTTCTGTTTCCTCCTGTGTATACAAGGGGCGATGATAGTGCCTACTTCATCACCTTCTTGTGGGATTCAATATGAATATATGAATAGGGCTTGGTCCGTAGCTAGAGATGAATAAATGTTATTTATGGTCACTCCCATCATCATCATCATCTCCTTTATCATCCACACCATCACTGCTTAAACAGAATAACCTTTTCTTCTGCATTGTCTCACCTGCTGTTAATCCCATCTAATGCATCTTTCAACTCAGACTTTTCTCTCTAGTACTTTGATTTGGGTCTTTTCATATCTTCTATGTTTCTACTTAACATGCACAAGATTTCCTATCTTCTTACACATAAAGAATATAGTTTTAATAACTGTTTTGTTGTCTGTATCTAATTCTATTATTCGGGTCCCTTCTGGGTCTGTTTCTATTGATTGATTCATTTTCCTCTCACCATGACTTTTAAGGTCACCACTGCCCTTTGTAATAGAAAACACTATGATGATAAAGTTGCCTATTTTTATTCTTTTATTTTCATCCTCACCCCAGGATATGCTTATTGATTTTAGAGAGAGAGTAAGGGAGGGAGAGAGAGACAACAATGTGAGAGAGAAACATTGATCGGTTGCTTCTCACAAGTGCCCTGACCGGGGGGGACCCAACCCATACCCCAGGCACGTGCCCTGGCTGGAAGTCTAACCTGCGACATTGTGGTCTAGGGGACAACTCTCCAACCAACTGAGGCAAACAGGCCTGGGCTTTGTCTATTTTTAAAGAGTCATTTCTCTCAAGTGTATTTCCCCAAGTGGAATTGCTGGGTCAGATGATAGAAATGTTTTTAAGTCTCTACTTTTCCCTGAAGTCTGTAGAAACCTAGAAACTACTTCTGCTTCCGTCCTCTGCTCATGAGCACTCATCGGGCCTGGATGGTTTTGGAGATTTGTCAGCAAGTCTGTGTGTTTTTACTTCCCTGGAAACGGTAGGAAAAACATTTGATGATAATGTTAGGCCTCAGTGCATCAACATCTCCATGTGGTGGGTGGAAAGGAGGGGAAGGGACAGAGATGCTGGAGTGCATGTTCAATGAAGAAGAGTTCCCATCTGTTGAGCCTCTACCAAGTGTCAGGCACTGGGTTGTTGCTGAATTTTCACATCCACACCATCAGGGAGATACTGTTGTGTCCATTTTATAGGTGAGGACACTGGAAGTCAGAGGGATTAGAAACTTGCCCAGGGCCCCACAGCAGATACGCAGCAGAGTTCAGGTTAGGACACAGGTCTGCCTGCCCAGAGCTGCCCTTACCAGGCCCTGTCCTAAGTGGTCCCACGTAGGACATGTAAGTGGTTAGTGCCCTAAGCCCATTTCACAGACCTGCCGCTGCACCCCGGGGCTCTGCTCTAATTTCCTTGGCCTCCCGATGGAGATAGAGGTGGACATCGGAAGGGCTGGCAGAGCCTGAATGTCTGCTGTCCCCAGCCTCACTGCTGAAAAGAAAGAGGATCCCCATCTTCTAAGAAATAGCCCATGGGTGACAGCACACGCTCTTGGCCAGTGGCCAGGTCCTTCCCTCGACCCATCACTCCCTGCAGAGCTGCACGTACCAGGATGGTCCCCCTGCCTGGACTCCACCCATGATGAGGCAGCCAGAGGGTGTTAGATGAAGCCAGAAATTCCCACAGATTTGCAGGATAAGAGGAAAGCGAGAGGAGCTGGGCTCCCCCCGGGGGCTTCCAGCTTCCCCTCTGATCAGCCCTGGCCAAGGAGGAGGAGGGGGAGAGCGGCCTGAGAGTCCTTTGTGGGAGAATGGCTCACTTTTCTTCAGCTGCACGAACAGAACCAAAGCCAGTGGATGAAACAACTGAAGACCCCCAGGTGTCTGCCTGCTGCAGAACGGGCACATGGTGGCAGGGCCACTCCAGGGTGACACATCAGTGGGCCGCAACGACACACAAAAACATGGGAAAATCTCACAAACATAATGCTGAACTAAAAAAGCCGACACCGAAGAGGAGAGACTGTGAGAGAGAGACTCTGTTTATATGAACCTTCCAATACAGCTAAACTGATTTGGGCTTTGATTGTACAAGCCAGGAACACAGGGGCCCATGGAGGGGGTGGGGACTGGCCAGGGTCACTAAGGGAGGGCTTGGGGCGCCGCTGCTGTTCTTTCTGTGGGTGGGCATGGGTCACACTGGTATGTGTGCATTGTGAAAACTCATCCAGCTATTTTAATTTGTGCATTTTCCTATGTACATCATACTTCTACAAATTTGAGTGATGATGTGAATGGGCAGGGGAAGTCAGATAGCCTTCTAGATTGTGAAACTGAGGTTGCGCGGCAGAAAGGAAACCCAGCTTTGATATCAGGCAGACTGCATTCCAACCCCAGCTTAATAGTGGCTCCGTCTTGATTCCATCGCATCGTCTCCCTGGGCTTCAGTTTTCTCATCCAAACTATGGGGCCAGCAATGCATCCCCTGAAGGCTTGCTGTCACCATCACAGGTACAGTGTTTGGGGGTCAGTGATTGCAGAGCACCTGGCGACCCCTCCTCCCAGGAGGAAAGAGGCCAAAATTCAGACCAACGCAAGGGGCTGGGCAGACTGGCCTCCCCACACACCTCCGAGCCAGAGGCTTTCGTTTCTAATTGCTACAGAGCCGGTCACCCACAGCAGAGGGATTTCCCCTGTGACCTCTCAGTTTACCCAGAGTGACCCAAGCTCAGACTAGTGGTCACAGAATACTCTTTCCAAATGGCTCCACAATTCCCGTGCCCAGCAGCTTCGACATGGTCGTGGTGCGAAGGTTCTTGCTTTGTCCTCAGACCGGGTGCCACCCCTGCTGCCTTCCGCAAGGCCCCGTCCCCCTGGGAGGCAGCGGCACCTGGGCGGTCAGGAGGAGGCCTGGGGGACACACAGACCTGACCTTCATCCTGGCTCCCATCTGTTTTCTCCTCCGTTAAATGGGGTGGAGGAAAATGAGAAGGCCCAGCCAGCAGGGTTCTTGTGAGGACGCTGAGACGTGGGGCCACTACCATGCTTGGCTTGTATCCAGTGAGTGCTCAATAATGATCGTGGGTGAGACACAAAGACCCCATTTCGAAGAAATCCCACAGCAGCCCAGCACAGGATGGGCATTCCCTGAGCACGGAGTGTGTGCTGGCCCTGCGGGCGGACCCCGCACACCGGACAGGGGGCAGAGAGGAGGGAGCGGGACAAGCCCCTGCCCGCTGGGGACTCCTGGTGTCCCTGGGAGCGACCAGCTGCATTCGAGCTGGTTGAAAACTGGGCTGTGTGGACGACGCCTGGTGCCCATCTGGCGGGTGTGGATGGGGGCTTTG